CATTGCAGGCTTACAGTGCCCGGTTCCAGGCACAAGATCAGATGCCTAAAAATGAGACTCACATCAGCAGTGCCCACCAACACAGTGGGCAGGACTTGCCTGCTCTAACTTGTAGAAAACTCCAAGGAAGGGACTGTCCTGGTCTTGCTGCTCCTTAGAATGCAGCCTCTTTTCCCAGGGGCTGTGGAGAGTCACTTCCCTCCAACTGCTATTTATTACTCTGACTCTTCTTTATGATTTATGAATCTGCAGCTTTACAAAAAAAAAAAAAAAAAGTTGGGGGGAAGGAAGGAAAGGTCACCCCTTTCTCTGTATGCCTGGCTGTGGAAAGACGCAGTGCCCTCCCAGATCCATGAGCCAGGCACTCAGGGGTAGAGGTGAATCAGTGTTTTCAGGTCCCCTCTCTCTCTGTCTGAAGGGACATGAAGGACTACACAGCACTTGGGAGAATGCAAAAAGTCTCCACTTAAAATGCCTTGGCTTCACGTGCTCTAATGTGTTTCATCAGACCAGCAGCTGAAAGAAAGACACAGTGTGCAAACGTGCCAGTGTGCGAACAAGTCTCCAACTCGGTGGCCAGTGTGCTGTCCCTGGAGCTGGGAGTTTCCGGCTTTGATCTGCTCTCACATATGTACCCATTCAGTTGGACCTATTATGCTGGAACATATGGACAATTCTCACATGCAGAAAACCCCATGGAGCTTTCAGACAACTACAGTATAGACATTTCAGAGGAATTTTGCTTCAGAGTAATTTTAGCATGCCCTGTGGACTCAATTCCCATCAAGGATTCCCTTGTGTGCACCCCAAGACCTCTCCATGATGCAAACCCGCAAGTGATGAGGATCAAACGCTTCCCTCCAAAAGCACACTCTGACTCAAACTCATACACTAGTGAAAATGCACCCGCAGGAGGCTTGAAATCCTGCCCTACGGCACAGAAACCCGGATTCCGCCTGCTTCCAGGCGCCTTCCACGTATGCTCGGCAGATGACATAGCGTTAGTCGTGACTTACTGACACAGGTATTCAACTAAATTCAGCGTGAAACAATGGAAAGGAAACGTCAAGGGGTTGACCAGATTAATCCACGGGTTCGCATGCGGATCTGGGCAGTTCCTGCCCCGCAGCGCCTGCGTTGCTGTTGAGTTTGCAGATAAGGGGCTGTGCCCAGCTGGGGGAAGCCCCACTGACACCGCGGTCGGTGGGGGGCCTCTGCCCGCTGTCATGGAGGGCAGCCCCGGTGCAGCGCTCCCCGCATCCCACGGAGGTGCCGGGGGAGCACCGGCAGCACCGCCGGGCCCCCCTGACCGTCTGCAGTGCACCCCTGCCTATCCTGCAGCCCCCGGCCTGCGGCGGGTGCGGCGGGAGAGGCTCCCCAAAACTTGCTCGCGCGGACCCGGGAGTGAGGGGTTTTGGGGAGTGAGAGGGTTTGGGAGGGTGAGGGGAGCCCCGTCGCGGGGGCTCGGCAGGTGGCGACAGAGCACGGGTTTAGGGGAGTGCTCGGAGCTGCTCAGCGCCGGCCACCCCCCTAAACATGTGCTCGTGCGCGGGGGGCGATTCCGAGGGACCTACGGGGCAGGGAGTGCAGCGGTCCCTCCAACGCCACCCGAGAGAACCGTCTTCCTGGAGGGCTCGTCATGAGTCTTAAACAATTATTTTTACAAGCAGTCCTACAGAGAGATGTAATAGGATTTAAAAATATTTTTCTTTATTTTTAAATATATCGCACATATACGTTTCTATATAAAAACAGAGGAATAAACAGAGCATATATAGAAGCCTAAAAGCCATTAGGCAAGGCGCAGGCCGCGGGAGGAGGAGGAGGAGGGCTGGAGGCCGCTCCGGCAGCATCCTGGGCCAGTTCGGAGGGGAAAACTCGGCTCACCATATTCCTCATCCCCCCGCCCCGCCTTCGGAGAGCGTGGCTGGGCCGCCGAGAGCTGCCTGGACTGACGGGAACCCTGAGCCCCCAGTGGGATGAACAGTCACCTCAGGGGGGCTCAGGCACCGTCAGGGGCTCGGTGCCCGCCGGACGGGGGCTCGGGCTGCCAAAATCCTCCCGGGGTCTGTGGGGTAGACCTGCAGCCTGCAGGTCTACTCGCCTGGATGAGCTGGATGGGGCAGAGAAGGCAGAAAGAGCGGCCCGTCCTCCCCGTGGGGCGCTGGCAGGCAGCGCCCGGCCCTTTCCGGGATGCTCCCGACCCCGTGCCCGAGAGTAGGGACGGGGAGCTGCAGAGTCTCGGGGTTAGCCCTTCTATTTCCCCTCGTAAGAACTCCAGTAACTTTTTTTTCCACCTCCTTTGTCGTCCTCGGGGAAGAAAAAAAAAAAGTCCCCCGAGACTCCATTCCTAAAAAAAAAAAAAAAAAAAAGCAGCAGCATCGCTCCTGCCGCACAGTTCATTCGCCTCCTTCTCGAGTCCCTCGGAAAGCAAGATTAAAGGGGAAAGTCGCAGCTGTATATTTATGTTTTCATTGCTAGAAGGGAATTGATTTCCTTGCATTTATTTTTGTAGTTGCAATACACAAGGGCGGATTTGCGTCACCAAAGCAACTTGCTGGTCGAGATAAAGTTGCACAAATATTGAAAAGGGAAGTGCTCGCACTCATTATGAAGTTTTTCTCCGGAAGAAATAAGGATTTCTGCTGTATCCTAAAATACTAAAGCCGCTTCTATTTTGGGACAAATCTCGCAGGCACATCCGCTCATTTAGTCCGAGTTGGAATCTCTCAAAAAACAGGAGATGACCTGGACTGCAGCGAGCCCCGGGTTTCCTGCTGCCTTCTCCCTCCTTGCGCGGGGAGGAGGGGCCGCCGCCTCCCCGGGCCAGCGCGGCCGCGCAGCCCTGCTCGTCCCCGGCCGCCGGGCCGGAGGGTGGGCGGGCAGGAAGGCCTTCCGAGGGCTTTGGGGAGAGAGGGCATCCTTGTCCCCGGGGAGAGGGAGCGGCCTGGGGGTGAGGCAGGTGCTTCTCCTTTCACCCGCGGAGGTTGCGCGGGGGTGCAGCGCGACCGAGCCCCAGGAAAGCACCTGCCCCCGCGGCCCGGACACCCCAGCTCCCTCTCCCTCCCGAGTCCCATCCCGGGGTTGAAGTGCTTCAGTGCAAGGAGTTTAGAGTTTCCTTTGGGGTTACTTCAGTCCGTGCGGGATGACAGCGCTTCTCCGCCCGCGGGGCACCGGCAGCACCGCGGCGGCGGAGTCGGGGCCGTGCCTGGGCCGAGCCTGCCCGGAACTCCCGCAAACGGATACGGGCGCTTCCCTCCGGTGCTGCTCATGGCCGGGAGTGGAGTTTTAAAATCAGCTCTTAAAAAGCCCCAAAACCCCAAACCCCCACAAACATAGGAAGAAAGAAAGAAAGAAAAATACCTTGTTGTGTTTTGTTTGGTTTTTTTCCCCCTGACTGACTGGTGAGCAGCCATGGGCTGATACAACGATATGGGGTATCAGTAGCAATTGCAGCAGTAATTTAACGAAGCGGTTTGCGGCCGGGATGCAGCGCTCAGGGCACACTTCGTTGCCCGTCCCTCGGGCGGGCTGGCAGGGCTGCTTTGCCCGGCAGTGGGAACGCCAGTGGAACCGGAGTCGTTCGATCCGGTTTGAGAGCAAGAGACTGGCGCTGGGGTCAGCTGGCTGGGGAATAAAGGCAGGGTGAGGGTGGGGGACGCGTGAGGGAGATGCAAGGAAAAGGAGCTTTCTGCTGTCGAGACAGGAAAAGTTCAAACCTAATCAACCTTTTCTTTCGCCGACTTCGGTTTTCGGACACATCTTGGCAAGCCATCCCGTCTTCATTTTTCGGTTTTGCCTCGTTAATAAGAACCAAAGCAAAGCAAAGCGGTGCTTGGCTTTTCCCAGAGACACAGCCTCACCTCTACCCGTGCACACGGTTACGGCTAAGGAACGCGTTGGCTCTTGCTCGCAGGTGGTTTCAATATTCACACAGAAGCTACATCTTCATACCTGGAGAAAGAAAAATACTTTGCCTTTCTGGCGGTTCCCAGAAAACCGTCAGAATTTGGGAAACCCTTTGGAAAAAATAATATGATATTTTTGAAACAAAATCAAAGCACACTTGCAATCGTCTGACCCGGCAGCCTACTCAAAAAGGCAGCGACTCCTTTATTTGTACGAAAACTAAAAATAAAGAAACAGTTGATTTTCAGAGTCAGGTCAGGACAAATGTGATGTTAGATGAGAGGGGGGGAAAGCAACGAAGACGCTTTGATAAATCTATCCCTAAATCATTGCAGCGAATATAGGATATGGTTGTGTTTCAGGGGGAAAAAAAAAAAAAGTGTAATTCTGTTGTTAAGGGTTCGAGAAATTACATAGCTATTTTTAAGGTGTAATTGTTGTGGAAGTAGATGCAGTCACCGGGATGGAGAACATGATAAAAATCTATAAAATTGCACTATCGTCAAAATACGATTAGTTAATTAGTCGCTGTTAATGCAGGATGCAAAATTCCTGGGCCCAGAATATCTGGGAGCTCTCATAAATACTTATGTTGCGTACATCAGCACAGACTCTTTCTCTTTCAGACTATCCCAGGCTCATTTATCCGGGAAGGAAACACATTTCCTTGAGAATTGTTTCCAAGAGGAGAGACCTGTCTCCAGTCTCCAAGAATTTTCCTGCACGTTTCTTTTAGACCTTTGGAAATCGCAGCAGCAGCAAGAGCAGCGACACTGCGCTGTATTTTTTTTTCTTTTCTTTTTTCTTTTTTCTTTTTTCCCTTTTTTTTTGGGGGGGGGGGAGAGGTGAGAGTGTTTAAAGTCGAGGGCAGAATATAAAGGGAGGGGGATAGGTGTGTGTTGAGATGTGCTTTGTGGGGCAAACCGCTCCAGGTCGCGGGTAGGGGCCACGCAATTCGCGCTGTCGGTGTGGTGGCCCGTACCCGCGGCGCGGCCCTGCGTGGGCGTGTCTGCGGGCGGTGCTGCCCGGCCCCGCGGATCGCGGATTGGGCGTGGGGAGGGAGCGAGGGCTGCTGGCTGCCAGAGAAAGTTTTGGGGAGGGGTGGTTATTTTTTTCTTCCCCCAGAGCGAGGAAAGGGGGTTTGGTTTGGGTTTGTTTTGTTTGCGCCGCTCCGCTCCTCGCCCGCTCTCTTTCTTCGTCTGGCCGTGGCTTTTGGGGACTTTTTAATTTTCGGGTTTATTTTTTTCTTTTTTTCATCTTTTGGTGGTTGGCTCTCCCCCCTCGCCCCTCCGGGAAGTGCTCCGCCAGCCGCCTCTCGCCCAGCCATCCCTCCCCATGCGCCGCGGGCAGCGGGCAGCTCCGCGGTGCGCACCCGGGAGCTGAACTGCGGAGCGGCGCGTCCCCTCCACGGGCAGGATGTACACGGCCGGGCTGGCTCCTTTCTACGCCTCCAACTTCAGCTTGTGGTCAGCGGCTTATTGCTCTGCATCGGGGCCGGCAGCCGGCGGCTGCTTCCCGCTGGACGCCGCGGCGGCGAAGAAGCCGTCCTTCTGCATCGCCGACATCCTCCACGCCGGCGGCGAGGCGGCGGGAGGACCCGCCGACAGCCTGCCCGGGGGTCCCGGCACCGGGATGCCGGCGGCGCTGGGAGCCGTCCACCACGGAGGTCCCTTCCACGCCACCGCCTCGCCGCTGCGGCCCACGCCCGTCGTGGCCCCCGATGCCCCCGCCACCGCCTTCCCACCGCGCCTCTCGCCTCTCTCCGCCGCCTACCACTCCCACCACCACCGCCCCCCGCAGCACCGGTCCCCCGCGGCGGCAGCGGCGGCGGCGGGCGGCGGAGGCGCCCCGGCCCCCGCCCGGCTGCCCGGCGGCCACACGCACGGCTCTGCACCGGCGCCCGCCAGCAAGGACCTGAAATTCGGCATCGACCGCATCTTATCGGCGGAGTTTGACCCCAAAGTCAAGGAAGGCAATACGCTGAGAGGTAGAGAAATTGGCTTGTCTGCTTTCCCTGCTAGCCCTCTCGGTGCTCTGTTACTTGTTCCGTGATCGCTTTAGCGAGTTACCCCCGCGATTTGAAAACTTTTCGACATAGCCGAAAAAAGAGTTACTAAAAAAAAAAAAAAACCAAAAAAACAAGCTCGTTATAAATTCGGGTTTCTAATAGCGCTCACTTAACCAGCCCTCACCCCGGCCCCCGCACGGCAGAGCCGTGGCACCAGGCTTGCGTCCCTGGGAAAATAGCGATAGTGTGAAAATAGCGAGCGGAGCGCTCCGCGCCACCCCGAGCGACCAGGGATTTCTGTCTCCGAGGGCACAGCCCGTTTAAAAGCTTTCTCTGCAATCCATCTCCCCTCGCGGCCTGTAAACATCCTGACCAAAGGGAGTAAATAAATCGGAGGATGTCTGACCGCTGAGCCACTGCCGCCCCTCCCGAGGAGAGCCCCTGGGATCGGGAGACGGCTGCCCGGTGCCCCCCAAGCCCCTCCGGCAGGGGACCCGCTCCGCCTGGCCCTGGGCCCCGCTCCGCTGTCCGGACCGTGCCGGGGTGTCGGTCTCGACCGCGGTATAACAGAGCTCTCCTTGTTCCTGTGCTCGCAGATCTGACCTCCTTATTAACTACCAGCCGCCAAACTGGGGTTCATCTCCCCAACTTACAGCCTTCCGCCGGCCAGTTCTTCGCGTCTCTAGACCCCATTAACGAGGCCTCTGCTATCCTGGGTCCTTTAAACACAAACCCAAGGAGCTCAGTGCAGCACCAGTTTCAAGACACTTTTCCAGGTACATCTCGTCCCTCGTCGACCCTCCCGTGGCGCAGGGCCCTCCGTCCTGGAGCAGCCCCCTTCCTCCCGGAGGGACTCACCAGGCACTTTTGAAAGGCCAGGCCGTGTGTTTTCTAGGGAGATTCAGATTTCGGGCAAAAGCCGGGTTGTGTTGGGGGGGAGGAAGAGCCGGCTAGGGCCTGATCTAGAGGACCATTCAATCGAGTACAGAAATAATAACTGGGCAGAGAGAGAAGAAGCGGGGAGGGGGGAGAGGAAGAAATTCGGGTTCCAGAAAGCTTCACCAGCGCCCGAGGAAGCATAGGTTGATAGGACACGTACCCAGCCGGCAGGCAGGGCCATGCTGGCTCAGGCCCTCCCCGCACACCACAGTCCAACTCTTATTCTGATCGATTTAAGGCTCCCCTTCAGGCTGTGATATTAATAACGCCGTCTCCTTCTCTCTCCCTCCGCTTTTCTCTCTCCCTTCTCAGGTCCATACGCAGTTTTAACCAAGGATACACTGCCTCAGACGTACAAGAGGAAACGCTCCTGGTCTAGGGCTGTTTTTTCCAACCTGCAGAGGAAAGGTTTAGAAAAACGGTTTGAAATCCAGAAGTATGTCACCAAACCGGACAGGAAGCAACTGGCAGCGATGCTGGGGCTGACAGATGCTCAAGTAAGAATGGCTTCGGTTTTATTTCTAATCTTACTTCCATTTTAGATGGATAGCAGAGGGTGGGGAGATTTCAAAGTGATTTCCTTTCCTTCATCTTTAGCGGGGCTGGCTGAGGAGCTGGACCTCACCCTGAGCATCTCTTGCATGCAGATTCCGCAGAGTTTTTGCCTTTGTTTTGGCCACCGAGGAGAAGGCCGGGCAGAGAGGAAAGTGGGGCCAGGGCAGACCATCAGAGTGTGCTTTACTGGAGTGCAGTTCTCTGTAGGAGGCAGTTTAGGTCAAAGGAAGTAGAAGCAAACCCACTATTTTTAATGTCCCCTTTTTCTCTCTCTCTCTTTTTTTTTTTTTTTCAATAATTCAAAATCTTTCCCCGCGTTGTGAAACTCATCATTCTGAGGAAGTGAAAACACTTCTTCAAACGGAATCATTAAACGCCATTCTGTAATGATTCCGCTATTGAGGGCCCACAGCGCGCAGAATTGTATAACGCTGTGGTTTCTTGAGCAAGATTTGGTTTCCTGGAAGAACAAGCAGGAGGAGAGAGGAAACAAACAAACAACACAGAGGGGAGGGTGTGTGGTATTTAAACACACAAACTAGAAGCAGAAAAAAAAATAAAGCCCTTTAGTCTCCTCAAGGTGTGGGCAGTAGGAGGTGAGGACGGTTCCTTCTTCTCTCCCCTCGTTGCCAGTCCCCAGTGGAAGGTGTCGGGGTCGGGCGCTGCGCGGGGTGCGGTGCGGGGCGCGGTGCGGGGCGCGCTGGGGCCGTGCCGCTCGTCTAAGGGCGGCGCGACCGCAGGTGAAGGTGTGGTTCCAGAACCGGCGGATGAAGTGGCGGCACTCCAAGGAGGCGCAGGCCCAGAAGGACAAGGAACCTCCGCCGGAGCCGGAGCCGGCGGCCCAGAGAACCGGCGCAGCGCCCGCCACCGCCGGGGAGCCCGAGCGCAGCCCCAGCCGCTCCGACGGCGACAGCGACAGCAGCGACGCTGAGTCCCTCGACATGGCCCCCAGCGACACGGAACGGACTGAGGGCGTCGAGCGGAGCCTGCCCACCACCGGGCTCGGCAAATCCTCCGGCAGCACCGGCCTCCCGTCCCCGCCGCCGCCCGCCGCCGCCAGCCCCGAGCCGAGGAACGGGCTATAGACGAGGCGGCCCCGCCGCGCCCAGGACATGTGCGCTAATTTATCTCCCTTCCCCGCCCGCGAGTGCGGCAAGGCCGGCCCGGTACGGCCCGCTACCGCCTGTGGTCAGCGCCCGGCCTGGCCCGGGGCGAGGGGCCGAGGATGAGGGCGGAGCGGAGGCCCCGGGGCCGGGGCAGTTGTGCGTGAGGTGGCCGCCTCTCCCTCCGCGCTGCTCGCAAGAGAGCGGGATTTCTCTATTTCCCCTATTTCCACCCACCTTTTTTTTTTTTTTTAATTTTATTTTATTTTAATTCTCCCTTTCCCGCCCCTTGTCCTCTCCAAGGAAAATCAGAGCGAGGGACTCCGAGAACGGTCTCCGAAAATCCTCACCTTTCCCTGCCCTTGCCCACAAACAATTTAGAATGTGAAGTATTTTGCCAACGTCCTCATTGGTTGCAACGTGTTGCTTAGAATAATCCGGCCAAGAAATACTGCACTGACAAAATATATAAATATATATATATATATATATCTCCTGTAAATAAAATGTTTGGTATGGTTTGTAACCACGTCAGTCTGTTGACCAGGGGAGAGGACTGGCGAGGCTGCCCCAGCTTCCTTTGCCTCACTCGAAGGCAGCCACTGTCTCTCCTTGCCTTAGAGCCCCTCCAGGCAGCTTTCTCCTTTTATTCCTTTCCTAATGAAGACGGTGACATGGACCGGATTTGATGTCGCAAAATTGTGGCCCCGATGAGAAAGTTACCGATTACATTTGTAGCCCGGCGTGTGCCTACACATGTGTATTTGCCGTGTAAGGTGGCTTTTGACTGTCAATGCCAGACAGGACTGCACTGTCTGATTCCCGCGACTCTCGGGGCCGCTGCCAAGCGCCTGCGAGGCAGTTTCGGCGTTCGCGGTGGGGGACGCGACGTATGTGCTTTGTTTTGCTTCGCTTTGCTCTGTTGTCGGTTCGGTTTGCCCCGCACCTCTCCACAAGGCCCCGCGGCGGGATGGGGAGGTAGTGCTCTCTGACGTCACTGCTCCGGGGGGCGCTGTGACGTCATGCAGGCGCTGTGCTCGGCGCGGGAGCGGTGCGGAGGCCGGTCGCGGGATGGGGTTAGGGTTAGGGTTAGCACTTGGGGGACACACGGCGGATTGCCCCCCTACCTCGGTGGGTAGGATGCCCTCCCTGGTGCGTGCGGCCGCCGGGTGCCCCTGGGACCCGACGGCTGCTCTCGCGTTCATCGTTGGCTTCGCTCTTGGAAAAACGTAAAGCGCCACCGTGATCGGTGCTCCGCTCTTCACGGGGCACGTGGGAGGACGGGGGCCGCTCCTCAGCCATCCTACTTCCCCCTCCTCCCTTGCCAAACAGCATCGATTAGAGCGAAAGACGCGGCGTCGAGAAGTCCCCGTCCTTCCCCGTTGGGAAGCGCTTTTACTGCCTCGGGGCACAAATACGCGGGGACCAGGAAGGCCTGATCCTGCTCACGGAGGGCAGGGCAAGGGCAGGAGAAGCGAAGACGCCTTCCTCCTCGCTCCCAAACTGGGTCGATGGGCGCTGAGCCTGTGACACCGTTAAAAATAAGGGGGAGATGGAGATATAAGGCGAAGAATCGAAAAATTCCTGGTGTTCTCCAGCGATGTGGAGGCGGGTGAACGCCTGGCCCTCGCCTGCTGCTTCTCTCAGGGCTCAGGCGAGAAATCCTCCGGGACTGGTTTGCCGGGGAGGACACGCTGCTCGGTGCCACCCTTGCTTGAAGGGGGAATCCGGCAGAAGCAAACCCCCGAGGAAAGAGAAGGATCCCCTCACCACAAGCACTGGGGAAAAGGAGCTGGTACACACGGCAGGCAAAGAGATCGTCTTGCCGGACGAAAAATGCATGGGTGAATTCGTAAAAAATGTCTAAGCGAACGGACACGGGTTTCTCCAGAGCCACAAAGGGCAGGGTGGTCTCCAAGAGGGACGCACATACAGTTCTGATGCGCTCCTGGATGCGCGCAGCACTCGCACAGGGCTGCGCTCTCAAGGCGCCGTCCCTGTCCGAGCCCTCTTGGGACAGGGAAGCGGGTGGGGAAGGAATGGTATGAAAGGGGCTTGTAAATTAGTTCTGCCTTTAAAAGACTGCCAGGGAGGAAACGAGCGGGTGTCTCGGCTTTTCGGGGCACAGTATGGGCCCCGCAGTTCCCTTCCAGCCCCAGAAAGTGGCTGCACTTATCAGCGTGGAATTTGCGTGGTGTTTTAAGTCCCCTAAGTACAAGAGAAGCCGCGGGAGAGACGTCCAGCGAAACACGATTGTTTCTCCTCCGCGGTGCGGCTCACGAAACCACAGGAATCTGTTTGACTCTTGAGTTTGCTTGTTAAAGACTAACCCATGCAGGAGAAAGGGTTTTGAGTGGCTTTTATCAGATGAGAAAGGAAAAGCAGTTTCTCTTCCCTTGGGTTAAAGGAATCTGCTTCTCCTCCAAGTGCCGGGCTAGCTGCGCGGGGCCAGGCTCTCCCCACCCCGGCACCCTCAAATAACGGGAGCAATGCCTGCCTGGACCCAGAGCTGGGGAGAGAGCAGGGGCAATGCCTTTATGGCACCACGCTAAGATAACGCGACAAAAGAGGGTGGGACTCGAGCTACGGAGAAAGATGCTCAGATGTGAGTGGAAGAGCTGGGATAAAATTTCTTCGACCCGCGGCAGCTTTTTGCGCTCCGCGCACCTCGGGTGCTGTTCGGGTCGAGGGGGCCAAGTGGTAGAGCCAGGAGGGTGGGTCTCTTCCTCTCCCCCAGCGACAGGGAAAATAAATAATATCTCTCCCCAGTTTGCTCCCACTGTGCGCGGGAAGGTAGAACAAACCCAAGAAAACGATTGTGCGGAAAGATGCGTGGATGAAGGAATTTGTGCCCGTCTCGACAGGGAAGGGAGTTTTACCGGTCCCGCGAGGCTGCAGTTACTGCTCAATTTCTGCAGAAAAAAGTCCGGACAATGTCGTGACCGCAGGCAGCTCGAGCGCCGTTCGTCGGCGAAGTCGACACGTCCGCAGTGCAATGCAACACTCCCTCGCCCCCTCCCACCCTCCCTCCAGAAGTGGTCAAGAAAAACTTGGGGTTGCCGCTATTTTGTTTGTTTTAATAGGGCCTGGTAACGCGAAAGACTTTTGATGCTGGTTGTGTCTGAATGCGAAACGCACGAGCCCACTGTTTCTCCGCCAACCCGAAAGACCTCGACGGTCTTTCAGTTGGGGGTCACAGCTTTCCGGGCGGTCTCTTCACCTCCCCTATATCTGTTCTGACTCTGTTCAGACGAACGAAAACCCCTCGGGCTGCACCCACCCGCCGCAACGCGGCTGTGTGTCAGGGGATGTCGCAGAGCGGGCCGGGGTCCCCTCGGAGGGCCGGGACGAGCTTTCCCGGCTCTGTCCTCGGTCTCCGCGGTCCTGGCCAGGCACCAGACTCTCCGCACGCACCAGCTGCTCTTCCCCATCCGGGTGCCAGGCAGAGATTTTTCAGGCTGATTTCAGATGAAAAGTTGTACGGGAGACCAAGAAGCCGGAGCGGCACACACTGCCGCACGGAGAAAAGAGGTTTTCCTGCCTCCTCCTGCGAGGCATGTATGGGAAATCGGTTTAATAGTGAAGCGGGAGGCCTCGCCGTGCCGCTCTGATATCCCAGCCACGTCTGCGAGAATCCACACCCGCAGAGATGCGCAGCCGGGCTAGATCAGAGTCAGGTCTTGCTGGCCTTCGTCCCGAGGAGAAGTTTACCAAGAACCCCCAGTTTTCCTGGGCGCTGTGTTAGGTAGTCCAACTAGATACTTTTCGCCCGATTTCTTACGAGAAATCTCCCATCTCCAGAGACTCGATTCAACCTCAGAAATAACAGCTACATTAGAAGAGAAAAATAACAATAATACAACAAAACAAGGGACAATATTTTAATCAAGCGAAATATGATGCAAAAGGGTCGGGTGAGGAGCTGGCATCGGGGTCCGCCGCTGCTCCGCCCGACGGGGAGGGGGTGTTCTCCGTGGCCCCCCCGGCTGGGCACTGCTCCCCCCAGAGCCCCGCGGGCGCGGAGCCGGCTGCAGCGAAACCTGAGTTCGCCTCCCTCGTTAGCTGAGCGAGACCGGCCCCGCTCCTAAGGAAAATATTTTTATTTTATTTTAATGTCGGGCTTAAGCTGATGTCTTAAAAAATAATTGTTTTCAGACCCCGGTTCGCTCGGCATCGCCGTTTCACACTCGCAGGCACACACAGCTTTCCCTGCAGTTCATGCCTCGGGACTGCCTGGCGTCGGCAAGACAAACTGCAATCTCCGAAATGTCAACTTTTGCCACAATCTCGACTAAAAAAACCACCCCCTTCTTATTGCTGTTGAGCGCTCATCAGAAATAATGGCTGTTTACACAAAACCTTTATTCACTTTCTTAAATAAACACCAGTGAATTCAAATAAAGCAAAGCCTCAGCTATAATTCAGGCACAACGTTTTCTGTGTGTATTCTCGGCTGCAGACCTGGAGAGACTCCTCGGAGAGAAATATGAAGTCTCTTTTCATAGTCCACCTCCATTAACTAAATATTCTAGCTCACCTCGGCCAGGTTTATACTACCTCGGCTTTCTTTTTTCCTCTTTTTTATGTTTTCCCCCAGCTGAAGCGGAAATATTTCCTCCCTTCTCCCCAGTCCCTTTTTACAGAGGTGTGGTCCGGACGCTTTCCTTTTTAAATCAATTTGCAGAAGCCCCTTCCTTTCCCCTTTCACAGCCTTGGCTCGGGGGCGTGCGCCGGGGCGAAGCCCTTTCGGGCTCCAAGGAAAGGCACTGCGGCCACACCGCAGCCCTCCGCAGCCTGCACGGCCATGGATGCTCGTGGCTCGGCGGGCAGAGCTGGATAAGGGGAAGGGGCTCGGACGAGGGTTGGTGAGCCCGCTAGGGCGATAACAAGGTCTCGTTTATTAGAAAGAACCGGCTGGAACGAAATTCGCGCAAACCCACGAGCTCAGCCAGGCAGCGGAGACGCAGGGTACCCGCGTGGGGTACCCGGGTGGTGGCCTCACCACCCACCGCCCCACGGGGGAACAGGGCCCGTCCAGGCGCGGGGCGCACAACTCCCCTGCACCCCTCATCTCGACTGCTCCCAGCCGGGGACCCGCGGCCCCATCCCTAATGAGATCCATTAAGCGTATTATTGATGTGGAGGTTTGCTGTGAGGTCCCGGCTGGAGGGAAGCGGGGCTCTGCTGCAGATACAAGCGCTCTGATCTGCACCACCTGGCTGAAACCAGAGAGCCGCCACTTCATTAATGGGTTTAGCCTTTGCTAATTGGTGTCTTTAGGAGCCTTGCCAAATTCTGCTCCGAGATCATTGGAGGCAGATTTTGTTTTTCCTCCCGCCGGTGACATTCGTTGACGGCGATTAGAGCCAATACCACTTCTGCGTCGGGGGCCGCCAGGCAGCCCGAGAACCTCCGATGGGGAGGGCTGCGCGGCCGCTCCGGGCACCTCCTTCTCTCTGCTGCCTCTGCTACAACCACCGTCATCGTCATCTTCACCAAAAGTGGAAACGCCGTAGGTAAACCTCGCAGTGAGGAGAGCCAACCCACGCTCCTCTCTCCCTCGGTGACGGCTGCGGCAGGTGACACGAGTGGAGGTGGGGCGAAAGACACCCTGTGCCCCACGCCACCCCTGCAGACAGCGAGCGGAGGGGCTGGGGCTGCCCTTGTCCGCCGGGGCAGCGGGGAAAGCGGTCGATCCCAGGGAAAAGGGGAGAGGCAAGGCCAGTGACTGGCCGTGCCAGCCCCGTGCCCGCAGCAGCCGCGGCTCTCCCCGGCCCGGAGAATCGGCGCCGCGGCCGAGCCCCTTTCGCCACCCGCCCTCGGGGTCAGCTTCATCCCCGTCCCCGAGGGCCTGACCAGCTTCTCCGAGACTCAAACGGCCGTAGCTAATGAAATCCGCTCACCGCAAATCACAGAGCTCTGCCGTACGCTATAATCAAATTTCTGCTTGCCTTAAAAAACCCGGGCCACCCTCCTCCACCCCCGTTCTCTGGGCAAACCCCAAATCAAAGGTTTCTAGCCATCACACTCCTCCAGCTATGCCTGGTCCCAGGCCATCTCTCCCGGCCTTCGTGC